TTTCGAAGGGATTCATGATGCTGCAGAATCGGAAGTCAGGGGAGACTGCTTTATTTTCCTAGGAAGTCCTCTGTTTATCACCTTGCGATGCTTTATCCGTCATGTGATACATGACCAGAGGAAGGAACCACACTTTACAAACTTGTGCGCCAATATGCTAAACCAAGATAATAGTATATTATTAATATATGAGTATTGCTATTATTATTTGTAGTAATAGTAGTTGTAGTAGTAGTAGCTGTTGTTATTGTTAGTGTGAGCTGTTGCGCAAAGCATGGATTGTTGCCCTGACAATGTCTGTAGCATGAAGCTGAAACCAGGCACGGCTTCATCGGGTTTTTAGGACGATGATACGAGGACTTTTTAGCACAATCAAACAGTATTTACTCCTCAATCCTCTTCGGTCACAAATGATACCAACAAATGAATACTTTATAATCAACTTTTCATTCGAAACGGGAGATCGAGTCGCACCACCTGACTAAGGTTTTCTTATAAACCCAATTATTATTTTGCGCAACTTAGTCGTGTTGTTGTCGCTTCGTAGTTGGCATCATCGGCGAGACTTGCCATTCTCAGTACCAAGCCACAATTCGTCAAAGTGACAAGACTCACTGAAGTATGCCGGCAAAACGTCTGGGTATGTACCAAGTCCTCGGTCCGACGCAGGGAATTGTGATAGCTGCCATAGCAGATGGCTTCGGACAAGGTGCGTCCAACTAAGTCTTCCTGATAACACGACCAAGTTGCGAAAACGAGGTCAGACCACCTCTATACATCTAAAGGAGACTGCGACCCTAATAGAGACCACATCGTGGTCTTCATATCTCAATTATTTTTTCTATATATGAAGGGTGGCACCAGTACACGATTGCGTCGTTTTATCGTCGGGTAAATGATCAAAAAATTGGGGTTCCAATCTATGACTAGGTCTTGAGGGTTCAGCACGGTCTGGGGGCACGACTGTGCTAGAAGGTACTACTCACCTGTTCGACCGACACCCGCAGAACAATGCACCACAATGGGGCCAGCCTGCAGAGGACATTCGGCCCGCACTCGTCTCAGAAACATTAAAAGTGGCGCTGGATGGCTGGGCACTCCGTGGTCTGGCCATGCAGTAAACTGTAATTGCCGCACTTCTCGACTTTCAGGAAACCTATTTGAAGAGAGCGGGAGGACGAAAAAGGCCATTGTGGGTGAAAAATAATAAAGGAAGGCAAACAGAACAATTCCCAACCGATGCTGCAACAAGGTGTGCACTTTTCATTTCCTTCTAAGCTAAACCGAATAGGATATTGCAAGAGTTGTGATATATGTAAGACGCCTGGTGATAAAAAAACCATAATATATGTGAAGAAAAGTTGGGTTTCGAGGAATCTCTTGTTTCATAATTGCTGAGGTTACATCCATTTCGAGTGAAAGTGTTGGGTGAAGAGATTTGAAGGTCGGCTCCACCAGAAGACAAGGGTGGATTCCTCTTGACCAGCTGTCGATTGGCTTTACTGGAAGATTCATGCTGACGCTGTTTCCGAG